GACGCTGCGCTGTTTTGACGCCGCGTTGTTTTGGCACGTGCTCTTCTGTCGCTGTGCCGTTTTGACGCTGTGCTGTTTTGTCGCGTACTATTTTGACGCGTGCTGTTTTGTCGTCGTGCTGTTTTGACGCTGTGCTGTTTTTACGCGTGTTGTTTTGACCGTGCTGTTTTGTCGCGTGCTGTTTTGTCGCGTGCTGTTCTGTCATGGTGCCGGGACCCGCCCCCCCCCCCCCCCCCCCGAAATCTTCCATTTTGCTGGGACCCTCCTTTCCCGCCTCCCCCTCATACAGTATTTTGTCCTGGGCGCCCCCCCCCCCCCCCCCCCCCCCCGAAACAAAATCCTGGCTACGTGCCTGGCCTCAACTCGTTTACGACGTACCTAGTAGCAGTGTTGGAGGTAACGCGTTACTAGTAACGACGTTACTGGTAACGCGTTACATTTTTCGCTAACGCAGTAACGTACTCGTTAGTATCCTGAATGACTAACGAGTAAAGTATTTCCGTTACGTTTTTACGGTATCGGCTCTCAAATTTCGTTACTCGTTACTCGTTACTTTTGACCAAAACTGGTGAAATTCTGCACGAGCTTGTGTCAAAATCCTGCACCAGCTTATCGCTGCACAGAACCAGCATCCCTCACAGTAAAGTTAAAAAAAAAAAAAAACTCACTTCTCGAAGGCGAGAAAAACCTGCGGCTACCAGCTAATTCCATTCATCCTGTTTTTTTTTTTCATAGTGTCACCACCCACAAGGCGTTACAGTCTCCTCCCCTCCCTCCTCTCCCCCCCTCCTGCTTTGTGCAGCAGAAGTGGACAGCGGGGGGGGGGGGGGGGGGGGGGAAGCCGTGGAAAGACATCCGTTTACAACAGTGGACAACTCGTGGCGAAGCGATTTGCTCACTTCTCTAGTTAAAAAAAAAAAAAAAAAAAAAAAACATTTTTTGTGGTATATTTTTACCCTCGCTCTCCCCCTCGCTGCCTGAAAGTTCCTGACCCACTTTTGTACACAGAAGAATCTTTCGCTTGATTAGTTTTTAATTCCCTAAGGTCATGATAAAAAAATTAAAAAAAAAAAGTTTTAAACCTGGAGAGAAAATTTACAAACACGAAACCTGTTTTTTTTTTGTTTTTTTCGCAGGAAAATTAAGAGGTACTGCTGGTAAGAGGCAGCAAGTGATTATAGCCAGTGTGCTGGTAACCGGTGTCCTGTTCTAGATAGTGAAGTAAATCAGTCTCTGGTAATAGTATGAACCGGACTGTTACTAAAACCGGCGTACAGATGAGGGGTGTTGGTTGGCTGGTTGTGTTCCAGCAGTCCTCGTTCGCATGCTGTAGTTTATAAAAGCCTATTGACTAACATCTCCGACTCATTCTGCGCGTGAGATGGGCATGAATAACGAAAGTCCGTCGCCATGGCCAGCAGGTCTGAATGAAATGTATCAACTAAAGGAGACAGGTAATTTACAGTTTCAATGCCTAATCTGCATGCTGAAAATTAAGCTGCTTCGCGCATCAAAACACTATGAAACCGCTGTGTAAATTTATCTTTATCCAAGCTTGTTAAGGAGGCTTATCATACATCTCTGCCAAACATATGTACTCGAACAGAAAAGTAACGTTAAAGTAACGTAAAAGTAACGTTCGTTATTTTTGGAAAGTAACGGTAACGGTATATCGTTACGTTTGTAAAAGAGTAACGTAGCTCGATAACGCGTTACTTTTTACCAAACTAACGAGTAACGCTATTTCGTTACTTTTTTCCGGTAACGGGCACAACACTGCCTAGTAGTTTGCTCGAGACAATGTAGGGTTTACGTAACAAAGTAACAAAGATCTGGCCGGTTCCACGGAAAATCTAAGGATTACTTCAAACCATCTTGGACGGCTTAACGCTCGACCATAACCTCTGTCCCAATAAAGGACTGAGATTTGGCAGAGTCGCAGTTTTACGGCCCCAAACTCCGCAAAAGCCTCCGTGAGATAGCGGGATGTTCGGAAGCATTTTATGACTCCAGACACAAGATTGCGTGTTAAACTCTGTCGTAAACGTCGTGGGCGTAGCATTAAACAAGTACGTTATGCAGGCTTGGGGTTGGGGTCCTTTAAAACAATATGGTTACCCGTTTTATTTCTGATATACCAACGCATACCAACCGCGGCATTATTAACTTGAAACGTTTATAGGCTAGGTTTTCAGGGGATGCGAAGCATCCCAAAAGCGTAACCGCGAATTTTCCCGCTAAACTTAGTGGAGAAAATGACGTCACATGGCTTCATATCGCGTGGCATACACGCAAGAGCAGTTTCCCCGCTAAATTTATCGTAAATCTTGACGTCACGTGACATGGTCACGTGACCTGTACGCAAATTAAGTGTCCCCGCCAGATTTAGCGGGAAATTTACGTCACGTCACCTCAACACCAATTCAGTTTCCCAATTAAATTTCGCGGGGAAGATGATGTCGCGTGACTTCGTGTCACGGGACCTATACGAAAATTCAGTTTCTCCGCTACATTTAGCGGAAAAATTGATTGACGGAAATTGACGTCACGTGACCTACACATAAATTCAGTTTACCCGCTACCGGTCATCCCCCATACTCTAGGCCATGGACACAGACCGACAAAATGGTGAGTTGGGCCAGTTGGTTCATAATGGAAAAAGACAAGCGCCGAAAGACCAGGACAAGGTGAGAAGACGACGACACAAGGCGCACTCGCAACTGAAGATTTATTTATGGAAAAACATAGTCTTATATACACTTTTAAAAAACACCCACGTCACTTTCCACGTGCCCACTCTTTATCCAAGAATAGACACTCTTTTTCTGACAGAGTCACTGAAGGCTCGCTTATGCACTTATCTGCACCCTTCCTTATTGCATACGCCTCATGAATTTCCCTTGTAATCTTTTTGCTGTATCGCCCCAGGATTGCCACGTCATTGAAAACTGGTGTGCACTCACATCGGTTGCAATGCACAGCCACTTATTGCATACGCCTTGTGTCGTCGTCTTCTTACCTTGTCCTGGTCTTTCGGCGCTTGTCTTTTTCCACACAGACCGACCCGACGGAGAAAGCCAAAGGGGTTAATGTGTCAATGGTGTGGTGAGGGGTGGGTGGAGTCAATGGGGTAGAGAGGAGTGGAGAGACCTGGAGGCCCACCTTGAGAAGAAATGCCTGGAGGTTACTAGCAGTAAACCGAGAACGTTTCACGTAGTAACACAATTGCAGGACTATTCGCCATACATTTTCAAACAAAGAAAGTTCGGAGACCTTTAATGTTTCTTCAGGGACAACGTTTCACTATTAAGCTAAATAAAACAACAAATATAAAAAATATATGAATCACCGAATTTAAAATTAAATATTTTAAATCACATTGTTATTATACAATTCTGGTTCTACAACCTAACAAAATGAAAAGATAATTTATTTATATTACTCGGGTCATCTCTTGTTTTGTGCGAGGCTCCGGAAATCTAATGATCCAGTGGTGTATGTTGTGCCTGTGGTGTAAATCTTCTGTAAGAGCGGTACACACGTCGAACCTACTCTGTCCGAATCAAACTTCAGTCCTTCACCGGGGTCCTTTTCAATTTTCATTCTTTTCATTGTTTGTTCGTTTTTTTTTTTTCCAGGAGCAATCATGATTTTTTTATGATATTTCTTTAGCGCCACTCACTTTTTTATCGAATAGTTGGTCGGTTGCTTCATTGGGGTTTAATTTCACAAAAACTAGGGCTATCATGCACCAAGTACCACGAGTATTGCGAATAAGGGTTAATGAGAAGGAGAGCTATAGCAGCTGATCATATGATAAAACAATGAACATCAAATGTGCATTAATTTATAAGTCGCGGACAATAATTTCGGAGTAGTAATTAAAATCATATTTGGTGTAGAAGTCTGACATACTCAAGAAATCTGAAAACAGAGTTCTATGAAATCAGCGGTTAAACACTAGTCAAAACATTTAAAAGTATTTATGTATGTTTGTATAAATTTGTCAAACATATTTGTGACATTTTTGGTCGTGTAAGATGATTAACAGTATGTTGAAGGGCTCGCATATACTGCAGCACGGTCCCCTGTAAAAGGTGTCTACGAGTAAGGCACGTATGGCCGATTCGTAATTAGCACAGCACCGCCTTACAGCAGCGTTCCGGATACCGGAAGCTCTCTCATTTGCTTACATAATATTGTATCCTTTGTAATTTCTTGCATCTTTTTTGTTTCACTCGAGTTACTACTTGGCTCAAATGCCACACCTCATGAACGTGCGGTTGATTTTGTACGGTATTTTGTGCACCCATTCAGTCACTAACAGAACTTGATGCCGGATTGGCAGCCTCATTTCCAAGAATGCCGACGTGGCATGGAAACCATCATAAAAGTATTCTAATAACGGTGGTCGAGACAAAAGATAATTTGGTTCTTCAGCTCAAGGAAAAGTGAATTCAGAGCACCCCTCAGTGATACGAGCATTTCTCGCGAAGTCAGCGGGTCAGTGTAAACTACTGAGGGAGAGATACAAATTGTTTAGAGAGACAGAGCAAGACGAAAAGACTATAAGATGAAAAGACGGAGCATTGAGTGCTGGTCAATTTGTGTGCTTCTTAGAATATATTTACGCTATGTTGACAGCGCGATAGGTGCTACGCGCTTGCCGGATCAATCAACCGCATCCGTTTTATCATCTCACCTTGCTCTCTGCACGTGCGTATAGGCGGGAGCGAGATCGCGTGGCGAAGGATAGACGTATCACTGGAACAACAAGCACGTAGCCTCCACCACACTGTCAAAGGGAACGGAAAATATTCAACTAGAAAGTGACGCGTGTCTTTGTTTTGTTTATGTTTTCAGTCGTTCTTTCGGATCTTAATATGTATTATGTAATATCAACCAGTTTGCTTGTCATCTGATCTGTCGTCAAGAAATAGTAACCAGTTTTGGTGAGACCTGGCAGAAATATCCTGATCCGTATTCCAACTGCCACTTACCGAAGAGATAAGGCCAGTTGTCGTCGTTGCCCAGCAGCTGCGGGATGCCGACCAGCTGGGCGAACAGGATGGACACGGTCAGGACCAGCTGGTAGATGGTACCCGTGGCCCCCCGGTATCGGATGGGCGAGATCTCGCACAGGTAGAGCGGGGCCAGACCTGCCGTCAGGCCTGTGGCAAGAACCACGACACGTCTTCCTCCGATGCTCAATACGTAAATTCAGTGGCGCGTACGGCAGGATTCATCTACCGGTTCCTCTAGAGCGCATCGGCCCGGTTCCGAACTTGTCGAGCCTGTTTAGTAGTCTTGTAACTTTATGAAGATTTTTTGGTGTTATAAGTAGCTCAATACCTCTACTACGGTGTTCACTGTGTTTTTGACACAAGCAGCATTGAGGGAGGTTCATTTCTCAGAGTTTCACTGACGTATTAACTTTCATTATCTGGCAAAATGTCATTACCCGGGGATTTTGATAAATCTCCTAAGCCCTGTTGTGCAGCACTACCAAGATAGCACGGTAATTATTTCTCAGAACTTGGCGAGAAATTATCTGCTCTCGGTTACAACCTGCGACTATCCTATAGTGAGTGTTCACTAGCGGCCTTAGCTGTGTGCGCAACTGTAAAGCGCGTATTGACAGCTAGCTTTCACAGTTCTTTTTGCAGCTTGTATTCCGCACCATTAAGATTGCCGGCCTTAGCATCCTATTAACGTAAGCTCGTTCTGAGCATGCGCTCTTAACATCGCCGTCAAATATGGCGTCCAGCGAATACCCTCTATAATAAAACCTATACTGCCAAAATTTTGTGGTAGGAAATCTAAACTGAAGAGAATCAGAAATTAAATGGGTGGTGGTATTTTTAAACTCAAAAATAAAAACCGCGTAATCACGCTTTAATTCCCGATCAAGTATCCTTTGAATTAAACAGGTCACAACTACCTATTTTTGTATTTTCGTCAACATAATTTTTAACATCTTTGTAGTCAAATGTCTACGACCTATTTGGCAGCCGCTCCTATCCAGTCATTTTACTAATCTGTTTCACGACACCAAGACTTACAGCGAAAAAGGGGATACAGGAGTGCATGAATAGCTACAAGAATCGCTTTACTTCCGTGTAGACCCGCATTAAAGTTTTCCAATAATCTTGACTTAAAAAAGCCCTCAAGCATGCCTATTAAATATGTGTTGTTTTGTCCGTAGTTCATGTTTTATTATTTCTAGTGTTTAACTTCACCACCAACGCGCTCAACAAAAGTACATGCCTATTACTTTTTTTCGCAATCTTAAGGGAGTAAAAACACTAAAACTTGGGTTGCGCTTCTTTTCCCCATTATTATTAACGTAGGCGCAGTAGTCGCACTCCTTAGGTGTTTTACGCTATCCCGAGATCCCAGTTCCCACCAATCGAAACAAAAAATATAAAGCAAACAAAACGAGATAATGGACTGGTTACACTTTGTTTCAGCTTAAGACCAGTCACAGACGACGCTATGATGTAAGGAGACTAATCAAGCAGCGTCATAAGCGCAAGCCGCTAGGCCTTCTCGGTTCATGATTGGTTCAGCCATGATATATCACGCACAGAAACATCACGAACACAATGATGGTGCACTTCTGACACTTTCTGACTGGCCCCACCAGCTCGTATGATCGGCAGCGTCCTAGCTTAAGGTGAAACAAAGTATAGAACGACTCGGCGTATTCTGAGTTGCACTACGTCATTAGCGATGCTATCCGTATAACCCAAAGTAAAAGAACGCAGCAAAAAAGTTTGGTGTATCTACTTATTTACAGAGGCTTAATAATCAGTCACCGATGCCAGAAAAAAAAAAAAACACTTTTGGGAACAGGCAGCGCTGATGGAGCTTCCTCAGGTCGCCAAATACTATCGCTTCTTGCACCAGCGAGCATTCGCAAGAAATCTAAGTCAGTTAGGCGCACCCTACGCTTATTGAAAAGCACTCCGATCAACTTCTTTTACAGCATGCCGGAGGTTGAGCAAGCGCCTAGAAGGAATCCGGAAGAACGCTTAGACCTGACTATATGACTGATAGCGACGCCCAGATTTTGACACCGGCTGTCGGGAAGCGGACATAATCTCGGGCACATCCTCAAGGCAACAGGATGCCTGCGCAGCTCATTTCTAGAAAGGTTCCCCCCGATGACGACTTTAAGGTGGGTAGATAAAAGACAACCAAAGTGCTTAAACGGATCGGCAGGTACCAGATTTGTTGCCCAATCTAGATGTACAAAATGAGCCTCAACAGGTTATGCATTTTCGGTTCTAGAAGACAACGAATGTAAATTAGCATTCTTTGAAAGGCCTACAATCACATGAGTAACAGTTTTATTGGCTGTAGGCCAAATGCACAGTGTTTTTGCGAACCGTAACTCAAGTAAATTCTTATCTGACTTCTTTAAAAATTATACAAACATATTTATATGTAACCATAAAAAATCTCAGGTTTGAATTTTAACAGCTGCGTACCAGATAATCTACGAGACATAAGTACTGTGTCTAGATATATGACGGTGGTTCTACATCATAAATGATTAAATGGTCGATAAGGTCTATAGAAGAGATCTGTGTAGCCTGAGGTGCGTTACGTTTTGAAAATTCAGGTGTATTTCTCCTAATTGAAATGTGGCTACCATATTTTGAAGTATTTGCCATGATGCCAGAACGTGCTCGAGGTCACCCATGTTATATTCCGCCTTTAGTTGGATACTGAATTGTCCTTTAAAGGTTCCATAGCGAGTCGCGAATGCCCTAATTGCAAAAGATGAACGAATGCGTAAAGACGGACGAACCATCCCCACTTTGAGACAGGATTTCTGCAAAAGGACCCATTTTGAAGTGTTTCGCATAATACCAGGATGTGCTCGAGGGCCCTAAATTTTATATTCTGCCTTCAGTTAGGGACCGAGTTGTCCTCGAGAAATTCCCTATCAAGGTGCGGGCGCCCAAATTTCAGAAGATGAACGAATGCGTAAAAACAGCCAAACAATTCCCAATTTCAGCCGATGCTACTCGGCATGCGTTGATTTGTGATGATTTGGCATATGGATGCGGATGATAAAACTATCATCCGCGTTCTCACACCGCCAGCCTTGAGCCTTTTTCTCAAATGGTAACTTTAGGGCACCACCGCGTTTCCCATGTTATGGAATTCTTTCTAAAATTTACCGATCTAGCGGTTTTCGATGACACTGAGCAAGTTTCTAATTTCAACCATATGTTTCTTTTTACTTATATAATATCCCACTCCTCCTGGCCGTATAACTTAAGTGATTATACTTCATTAGACTTTAAAATCGATCTGTAAAGCCTAAAATAGGCACCCCGCATTTATAATATAAGTGTAATGAATTTAATATTGTAGTACATTTGAACGTAGTATAAACGCCGCATAAGCGGTAGTTTCTATGCTTCGTTTCAGTGTAAGTCCAGCAGACGCAGCAAACTCTTATGAGCTAATAGGACCGATCTAGCAGCCCCGAAAGTTCGAGTCATAGGGCCGCTTCTGTTTATAATTCACTTAGAGATAGTCGAACACATACAAAAACATTACCAACACCACGATGGCGCGCTTTTGACCCTGTCTGATTGGTCCCATAAGCTCGTGTCGTCGGCTGCGTCTGAACTTAAACTGAAAGGAATAGCATCTTCGATCAACTTGCACCGGAACCGCCCTGAAGTTTGGAGAGTGCGCAGCGCTGCTCGGTCGTCCAGCGCGAAGTTAGTGCAACATCCGGAACAAGCTGCGCCGCGTCGGTGCACCGCGGCGACCGCCACCATGCGTCACCTCACGTTTTGGTCGGCCTTTCTTGCGTACGTCCGCGCGCGGTGCCCGTCTGCTGTCAATTTATCCCGATTAATTTTTTTTTTTTTACTCTTAGATTTAGCGATTACACACTAACGATCATCGTGGACGCGATTGTTGATGGGGTCACCGAAGCGGGTGACATTTCCAAATGTATAATTTGCTCATCGTTGTTGGTTCAAGGAAGAGTTTTGCCAGATAATAGCCGTACCTTAGGTGTCGTCGAAACGCCTCACAACGCTTTCCACCAAGTTCATAACTTTCGGGCGCTCCTTGCCAACACCGCAATCACCGGTAATCGTGGCAATGGTAAGAAGCTCGTCGTCCTCGCTGTCGGAAGAGCTGGGAAATTCATTAGGGAGTTTTCGTAGACCGGGTTCCTCTCTCCGCTAAGCCCTGCGAAACGAAGAAGCCGCTACTGCGCCTGCGCGCCGATAGCCTTGGCTCTAGAGTTCCCGGTATCGAAGCGGGTTTCGGAGAGCGTTTCATGACGGCGAAAACGATCTACGAAAGCTCCCTATTGAGTGCCGTTGCGTGGCAGGTCCGCTTTCGCAAGGTCGCCGTCTCGACCGATGGCGGGTCTGCTATTCCCACTCCTGGCCGCAATGCCTGACGGGGCTGCAGCCCAGTACACCGTCAGTTTTCTTGGTGCGTGGTGGGGCAACGAAAAGCCGCACCCGGGAGGGTGCGCTCCGTTAAGCGAGGGCGTCCGGTGCGCACCAGTGCACTTGATCGAAGACGAAAGAGCGCACCTCGGTGCCCCGGTGCACACCGGTGCGGAAGACCGAGGATGCTACGAGTACAAGCAATATTGTCGCGTGCGTGGCGAAGTTGGCAACGCAAGCGGCTGTCACGCAGGGTAATGGGGTTTGAGTCCCACTCGGCCCGGACACTTATTTTATTAATTTTGTACTCTTCTCATTTTTCTGTGCTCTTCTAAGTCTTGAAATCCCAGCCCATTCTCGCCTGTCATCGGGTGTTCTTGTTCAGCACATTCCTGAACGGGCCGGTGCCGCTGTATGGAAGTAGCGATAACGCGCTGCTTCGGGTCAATCACCTTTTTGTCGCCGGCGCAAGATGCGTATCACCTTTCTTTTTCAGTTTTTATGCAGAAGTTCAAGTCATTATCGTTTCTTTTCCCTTCTAACTTGATCTGCTTGTTTTACTGGTGACCACATTGCACAAGGAGGAAAGTGGGTATAAACCAACGCGTAAAACATTATGTGCCTAAAATACGCAAGCTGACAATCCATCCTTAGTTACGTCCTGTGCAAAATCAGCTACTAATAATAGGGACTTTTAGCAAACATTTACCGTGTTCCGCGTACAGCACTACCGGAGCCTTTGAAGCCTGCTTTTAAGCGCGCGCCTGGGTGATACCGTGACCACGGGGCGCACGCTTAAAAACCTGTTTCAAAGGCTCCGGTAGTGCGATACACGGAACACGGTAGCGGTTGTTAAAGTCCCCAATAGCATACGTTTTATGGCCTATACTAATTCACATTTAACATAGTAAAACTTATCTTTGACGGTACCTAACTATATCGCACTCCAAGATATCTATAAGAACTATACAAGTGCGTGCGATGGCTTTTGCGATTTTTTTTAAACTTCGGTTGGGTCTAGTTGGTTTATTCCATTTAAAAGGTTAAAGGGAAGCTGAAGAGCATCTTGAGAAAAACGAGTTAGAGCTCAATCCTAGCGTATTTCTGTCCCGTAAATTTCAATATCACAAACATTTTACCCGAGCACATCAATAGACGCGAGAAAAACGGAGAAAAACCAATCGCTGGGTCTGACGTCATGCCCAGAGGTTTCATCTGAGTTGAGAGTGCCGTTTGTGCAGGGACGAGTGCATCGTTTTTTTATTGTTCGGGGACGGCTTGCGGAAAGCGCGAAGATGCTGAGATCTTTTTTGTAATACTTCCCGGCTCTTTCCTCCCACTGGAAACGCCAGGAAGAAGGGGCTTAGCACTATTTTTCAAGCGCTGTTGTGGCTACTTGGAGCATCAATCCGAAATATAACTTATATTCGTGATCCTGGAGGCCAAATGAAGACGATTGAATTGTTTTTTTCTCAAGTCCAAAGTCGCTTCAGTTTCTTTTCAAAATGCGCCCATCCCTGTCATGTGTATTTCTCATTTCGTCCGTGTTTCAATTCGCGCTGTTTATCCTTTTTGTTTAAAAGTTCCGACGTTCTTCCTTTGATCGCAGTATCGCCACAAAATGGTAAGGGAGAAGGATAAAGTTGTCAGCACGTGGCAAGCGCAAAACAATGATTACCTCATCCTATTTTTTTCTATATTTAAAGTTACTGTTGCTTTTTTTTTTTTTCACTCGGCACGCACTTCGATTTGGCTGGAATTTGCACTTGGCTTAAAAGGTAAAGGTGAATACGCCACGTGGGGACAGATGAGTGAGCTAGGAGCGCCTGACGCAAAAATCTGGCCGTGCATGTGCCAAAATGTAGAGGATGAGTGCGAGGCACGCACGAAGAGCCTCGGCTTGAGTAGACAAGCTCCATCAGGTTAAAGCGTGAGATGCCATGTATAATAATACTTCGCTTTCTCGGGTTTTGACGTAGACACACCAAGGAACAGCAATGATATTGACATATAATTGGTATTAGTAAGTGCTCTGTCCTGAGAAAGCCATTACAGATGAATTTTTTGGTGATGTTGAAAGTCCCTGTTTGCACAAGTAGGAAGAGGTTATAGTAATTTCCCCGACGCAAGCGGTCAAACCCAAACTAGGAGAGTCATGATGTGCTCACTTAATTGCCCCTCTACCGCGTTAAACACACTGCAGTGTCGATATATCAAAATGAGAATCCGGCATCTTACCAAATGTTTATATTAAATTATTTTCAAAATTCAGGGCCATCTGCTAGCTTAATAAGTGGTGTAGATTTTTCTATACTAATTGCGGTCATCAAAATGTATTTTCTCCGGCATCGTAACTTTCACCCGCCAACGGCAGACGAGAATGGGCTCTCTCGCCTCATTTTTCAATGCTGACTTGTTTTAGTTTTCGGTTTTGGTCGGCACGCTTGTTTCGGTCGGCATGTGCGACGCGCCGACCGATAGACTCCTAATAAAACTTCGGTCATCCATAAATTTTAGATGTTTGTTAAAAAATTGATTGAGCCCGAGTCCAAAATGTACGCTGATGCAGAACTTGTTTCTGATTCGTACGTACTAACATCTGGAAAGCCTTGCATACTCGCTTGGGAACAGCTTTCGTCAGTTTCCGCTGCCATTATAGTACCGCACAGACACTCAGATGATGATAGTGTGACACTCAGATGATGATAGTGATTAGAGTGGCCAGACTGAGTTTCGAGGAGGGCCTATTCAAATATGTCTAGGTTTGTTTTTGTTTGCCTCGGGCATAACTGCGGGCATTCTTCTTTTTTTTTTATATATATAAATATAAATATATTCGCAGTAACGCCTGATTTACATGATGCGTTATTGTTTGCGACTGTCAGTTGCGACGTCGACCACCGGAGCTTACGTCCGCACATATTGTTTTGCCGCAAGTACAACGTCGCAAATGAAACTTGTAGTCCGAATCACACCATGTGAATTCGGCTTTACGGTATTTCTTGTCCTCAGCAAAAAACGCCACATAAGCTGTCGCGATATCGCTGCCTATACTGGCCGCGACAACCACTCAACCGTAACAACAAACGTTATAGGGGGGAGCGATTCAACAGTTATCCTGCCCGTTATTCCACCATTAGCGGGATATCATCAGGTACAGTAATACCCCTACCCCACGGTAAAATATATTGTCATTTCTATCGACCGACATTGTCTGATCGGCCACTCAGCGCACGCCACCTCCGGCGTAGCGCGATGCACGCACGACGCTCGTAGCCAGGATCGAACCTGATTCGTCGACCCCTCATTTTCGTTCAATGAAAATGGCATTACATTTTTGCCATGTGGCAGGTATATAGCAAGATTTGTCAGTATCTATACTCGTATTTGTTTCAACAATCGTAGTAAAAAAAGAAAACGTTCGGCATTTCACGGAATGTTACTAATTTCCCCACTTCCTCGGTCGAAATAGATTAGCTTTGTGTTATTTTTTCAAGTCGTACACGTTTCAAATGCCCAAGACCATCGCTTTTTCCTTCGACAATCAAATCTTGCAAGAGCTACTTAGCGCAGCACATGAATAAGGCCTGTTTCAGGCCTTATTCATTCCTTTGGTGTGACAGCGAGTAGAGGTGGTATTGGCGTGCGCCGCGCTCATACCGGCGTTGATGCCCGCGATGAGCCTTCCGAGAACGAGGAGCTCGTAGGAGGCGGCTCCCCTGGAGAGGGTCATGAGAAGCGCGGCGGCGAACACGAGCCCGCTGTTGAGGAGTAGGCCTCCCCGGCGCCCGAAGCGGTCGGCCACGCAGGCGGTGAGCAGGCCGCCCATCATGCCGCCCACACAGAACACGGCCACGAACACGCTGAACACCAGCGTCACGGTGGCCTCGGACGCCGGCTCGCCGAAGCGCTCCGTGAACGTCGAGTTGATGAAGTCCTCCAGAACCTGCAACCAGATATATTGCATTTTATGTTTTATTAGCTGGCCGAAGCTGTCTTGTTCCGAAGACAGATCGCTTATTATCGACCTTGAACTTGATACTCAATACATGCTTGCCTCTGGCGTCATATCAGCGGCCATAGGAATGGCCTCGCTGCTGTGAGCACACCTTCTGCTGAATACGTTTCGCACCCCCGGATTAGGTTTTCTCCGCAAGAACGAGTACGAATGACCAAACCGCCAGCATCGTGTGATGACGTCACCTAAAAACCAGCATCCTGTTATGACGTCACCTAAGCCACCAGCATCGTGTGATGACGTCACCTAAACCACCAGCATCGTGTGATGATGTCACCTAAGCCACCAGCATCGTGTGATGACGACACCTGCAATCCATAAAAATGTGAAAACGAATCTTCTTTTTTTTCACTCTTTTTTTTTTTTTTTGTAAAGAACGAAGTGTCGAAGTGTAAATTTATTGTACGCCGAGTTATTCTTTTTTACAGGATACTGCAGGCCAATATTTTGGCCATAACAGGAGTGGATGTAATGTTGATACAAAACTAAAATACCAGATATACAATGGGCTGAAACTAGGCATCCACTCTAGTGTTATGGATGACATAATATGAACGCCACTGAAAGAAAAAAAAAAGTTTTTTTTTTTAACAGTCTGGTTGGGACACGCGTTTCGAGAAATACATTTTACGCGAAAGAAATAACGTAATATTAATTTTTTGACGCGCCTGCCCCAACCAGATTATTGAGAAAAAAATATTTTAGGGGCTTTTTAAGGGTTCTTAAATACGAGGGTTGGTATTACTAACAAAAAAGTCGGAGAAAAAAGAAGAAAGAGGCCGCTTACCTTTTTTGGTTTTTGTAAAATAACAATCGTTATATCTTGAAACTCTTAGCTTTGGAAGCTGATTTCACCCAACGATATCACACATAGAATTGCCTCCTTTCATATATCTTTATCCACGTGCCCGCGCAGTGAGCGAATGCTCCATGCGCTCAAGTGTTCCTGCAGTCAAGATGATGCTAGAGAGAAAGTCGTCTGCTTCTAGCACAGGAATTTCGGTGACGTCAGAAAGAGGCGGAGCTCTGATTGGCTTTGATTGAAAGGATAGAGAGTAGACCTCAATGCTAGACGCCTTGAGGTCTACCCACTATTTTTTTTTTCAATCAGCCAATAAGAGCTCGGCGTTCTGACATCATCGAAACCCTTGCAAAGAAGCAGACGAACTTGCCCTCCGCATAGAGAGCTTTAGAATGGGGGCCCTAATGTTTGGGGTCACGCATGCAGCTTGTGGAGTCACACACCGCGCACGCGCAGACCTTCCGCGCATGCGCACTGAGACGCCCACAGCTGCTTGGGTTATCCAAAGCGTAGGGGACCCCTATTCTAAGACTTTCTAATAGGGAGTTGTAGTAAATCGTTTTTCTCCTCCGCTACGGTATCCCCGAAGAAAACGCCGCAGCTGCGCATGCGCGCCGCCAACCTTCTCTGCATAGTGCAAGGTCTTGTGGCGGATTACGGAGCGCTATCCGGGTGCTTAGCGGGCTGCGGAAACGGTCTACTACAATTCCCTACTGTCAAAGGCATTGAGTTTCCTCTTGTACCTTTTTCTGTGGTCCATATTACTGTGAGGCACTCTGTCTTTAGCAGTCTTTCAATCGTGTATGCACTATCTGTAACACAGTATTGTGAGACACTATGTCTCACCGTACTGTGCCACAGATAGTGCATACACGATTGAAAGACTGTTAAAAAAATTTCACGCTCCTGCTGCACGTCTTTCAGAAGATAACTTCAACAGGCGTGACAACTGTATATCACAGCGCACACGAGGTTTTGGTGCCTCTTGTACAACTCCGAAGCAGGTAGACGAATATTTTTACAAATATCGCAAACAATTCCAAAACTTCCCCAAACCAGGTCCTTTGTATTTAGATTTATCGGGCTTTCTTGTGTATTGTGCGCACCAGACGCGTGAAAACGAACATGTTCTTTAGCGAATAGATCGGTTGTTTAAATTAATGCCATAATATTTAGGGCCCTTATCCCGATATATAAAAGACACGAAAATTCGGATACCAACCAATCTTTATACAATTATGCCTCTCTAATAGGGGAAGCCGCAGTCAGGAGTTATTTATATGGACTACGGGAAATTAGCAAGGCAGAATTGTACAGGAACAGATCGTTCCCCGAAAGTCAGTGTCTATAGCGGGGTCCATATGAACAAGAGATGACTGTATGTGATCTTGACCCTGATTTGTTATTATGAAGTACTTATGGACAATTTTTGATAAGGAACGAAAGTGTTAATATTAACGAGACGTGTCTGTAACGGCTTGTATTTTTGTCGCGCCGCAAACAGGGAACAATAATTTTAGAAATTAAAAGAGGTCGAATAAGTCGATGATAATTTTGTAAACAAAACTTGAATTTAATAAATTATCAACTTTAATAATTTCGGAAAAATGAGATTTCCAAGAAGTATGTGAGCAGCTGTACACCGAGTGTTTAATCCGAACACGCAGTATTCTAGTCATTATGTCAAAGTACGAGGGGTGATCAGAAAGTTTTGCAACTCGCTTATAAAAAAAACCATACCAGGGCCTCGAAAAAAGTTTTCTTTTTCTACGTAATCCCCCCGGTAAACTAATGCACTTCAGCCATTTGCGATAACAGCTACTAATTCTTCGCAAAAAAAAAAAGGAAAAAAAAAACTTTGCCCTGTTCGTCAAGCTACTGCTTTGCGGCAGTTTTCAGTGCGTTCAAGTCATCCAACCTTGTTCCCTTGAGCTGTTTTGTTTTTTTAGAATAAGGAATTAAAAAAAAAGGTCACTAGGGACAGGACTGGGATTGTAGCTCTTCGAAAGTACACAGTCGAATGACAGCCTGGGCAGCACGAGACTTGTGAACGTGAGCGTTGTCGTGCAGGAGGAGGACGCCTCTTTTCACCGATCTTCGTCGTTTTTATACAATGGCCTTGGACAGTTTGCGAAGAACGTCCGTAGAATATTCGCCTGTTTTGCAATTGTCGCGCTGTTTCCAGCTAGTCAATCAGCAGGATCCCTTCCTTTTGTGTCCCAAATAAATGTCGCCATGACTTTACTCCCCAAACGTTGCGTCTTGAATGTTTTTTTTTTTTTTGTTCTTTTTTTGAGTGGGGACGAAAGAGGGGAGGGGGGGGGGGGAGCCTCAAATTTCTTTACTGTATAGACTTTTGTTTTATGGGTCCCACTGGTAAAGCCACGTCTTAATCCCCAACCAAAAGGCGGACGAGAAAATCTTCTAGGTCACTTTCCTAAAGGCTCAAAAGCTCTCTTGATGAATGCAAGCGATTGTGTCGATCTTGCGTAGAGAGTTTCCTTGGCACCCATCGTGCCGAGACTTTTGACATAGCCAAAACGTCATGGCTGATTGCCAAAGCACTGCCATACAACATATTCAGTCCTGTGGAAACTTCGGACACCTTAGTTTGTCGATTTTGGATGATAAGGTTCTCAACTCGGGCTGAACGATTCAAATCGGTCGAAGTGCTGGGCCACCCTGACCATTGGTCGTTTTGCATATCCACTCGGCCGCGTTTAAACTCGTTGAGCCAACGATTTAGTGCTGCATATAAATGACATTCACTGCCATACATATTCATCATTATATCGTGAATTTCTTTGGCAGAGCTTCCTTCTTTGCATAAAAACTTTATCTTGCTCTGGTACTCAAGTTTCAAATCGTGGGAGAACGCCATGTTTAACTGACTGATTCAGACGAGGGGAGAAAGCGGAAGGCTTGATATCGAACATGTTTGGCTAGAGACATGAGTTAGCCAAAGGGTGTAAAGAGATCACTTTTGTTTCTAACCGAGTTGCAACACTTTCTGACCACTCCTCGTACGATTTACGAAGATTTCGCTCGAGGTCACAACTTGTTTGCAATAAGTGTCGTGTATGTACATTGTCACATCACGTAGCGGAGTATATAGCCTCTCAAAGGTTATTGGTCTCAATTTCTATCCTCCAGTTGAGATACCCTCCAGACATTCATTGTCTTCTACGAGAAGAAAGAAAAAAAAAAGAACGAGGGAGGCGGCCTGCTTCCAAAGCAACCCGAAGGACTTCATTATAGTGCGCTCTCCCTCAAAGCGGCTTTTTTCTGAGCATGATCACACACAGCAGATGCGCTCCACCGGCGCATGCGCGAGAGGACATGCGCTGAACCCGGCACTGTCGTTGTTAGCGAACTCATTGATCGCCCGGTTCTTCTGCTTGCCCAACTCTCAACTCAGTCGCTCGGCCATGCCGCGATAATTGGATTTTCCTCTCCCTTCGTTCGTCCCACCCCAGTATACCTTCACAAAATATTCAAAGCCGGTCGCTTAGCTGCGTTTGTTTTTCCAGCGCGTTTTCTTTTTTTCGTTCTTTTTTATTTGTTCGGTTCAAAGATTTAAGTCGTCGAAACTTATTAAGTGGGGCAGCTACAGAGGAGATCCAGAATCGGAAGGTCCGACAAAGAATGCGGGTGAGGCGGACCGAGAATATATAAGCGGACGACAGTTCTAATATATAAACGTGGCTAAGATGTCCCACATTCTTCTTCTTTCGGAAGCTGCGTTTATTTAAAATGCATGAAGTTCACACAGAGTAGTGCAGTATGTTTGTTGTATACACCTCTAACTTTTATTACTTATCCGCCTACTTATTTTTTTATTTGACGTCAGTTCGAAACGAATGCATGAATGCCCTTTTTTTTTCTACTGCCACGTTTCCGGTTAACGTATCTATGTCCTTACTTCGCAAAGCATCTTCTCGTCATTTTTAAAACCTTGTTGAACGCAGTGCGTCTTTCAGCGGAACAAAACACTAAAAATCCTAATCAGGACTAAAAAGGGAAGGGGGGGGGGGGGGGGGGGGAGGGGGTGGAGGAGTATCGTCCGAACAAGCTTGTTAATTGTCTCATGGGTTTTGAAACATGTGTGTGTGTGTGGGGGGGGGGG